TGGTACAATTAGCGTCCCAATGTGGATGTTTACAATTGAGATCACCTAGTAGGAGGACTCTATTTCCCGACTTCATGATTGAGTTTAATTCTATTTTTGTAAAAATATTATTTGGAGGGTTATATACTCCTACAAAAGTAATTTCTTGTATTTTTATGATAATGTGTTCTTGAGTTATATTAATATTATTGATTTGCGTGAATGGAATTTTATTACTTATTATGAAGACGATACCGCCCCCTTGCTGCCCTTGTCTGTCTTGTCTTACGACATTATACTCTTGTATTTTTAGCGAATGTGTATTGTCATTGTAGTATGTTTCTGTAATGAGTACAATGTCGAATTTATGTTTATGAATGAAACTGCGAACAAGTGCTGTTTTGTTGCGCATCCCGCGTGCATTGAAGAAACAAATTTTGAGTTTTTGTGTGTTTTTTGAATGAAGTTCAGTTCCTAAGTCTGTATTGATTGTCAACGTCGCTCATAAACGCGTTGTAGGTCTCTATTATTTGTTGTCCATTTAAGCACTGTTTGAGTGCAGCGTTAAGCGCTCTAATCGCCCTTGTTAGCTCACCTATGTTTATCAGTTTGTTCAGCTCTGCAAGCTCCTTGTTTAGCGATGTTACGTCATTCATAGTAGAATTTGGGTATTGAATTCTCGTTGAATCAGTTGTGGTGGCCTCTACTGATTGTTGCCTAATGTTTTTATGGTTTAACGCTGGAAATTCTTCTGTTTTTCTGGCGTTATTATTTTTTCTAGCTTCCCATTGGTTAATAGCTGGTGGGGGAGCTGGTATTAGCTTCCTTTGCTGTGCTGGCCTTCTCTCTTCCAGCCTTGTTACTCTTTCTAGATAAGACTTACACTTAGAGTAGTTTGCGGGGTGATCACCCCCGCAGTTAACACACGTCGCAGGTGTGTCTCTGGACTTGACACACGTGCGTGTGTGGTGATCCCCCGCGCACTTTACACAGCGTGCTGGTTTACCACAATTTGCTGTAGCATGTCCCCACTCCTGGCATGTATGGCACTGTATTATTTGTTTGACTGACTTTCTCAACTCCCAGGTCACTCTGGTGTGTAGGACTCTCCTGATGTTTTTGTTTAAGTACTCCAGAGTGATAACCGGGTCAGTAACTACCAGGTAGAGGGGACGTTCTTTAGTTTTCATTATATAGATTTCTCTGGCTATTATTTCGTGGTCATCTTCGAGGTTCTCTTTTATATCTTGAATTTTAGTATTTTCCGCCAGTCCTCTGAGCACGAAAGCATGTGACTTTTCACTGTACGCAGTATATGTATGGTAGGCCAATTTTTCACTCTTTACGTTATTGAGGACTTTTTCATAGTCCTCTTTTCCCTCTACAAAGAGAATTGTAGTGCGATTTGTGTGTTTCACACTAAATTCTCCTTGTACCAGTGCTTTGAGGTCCGATATTAACTGATTAGGGTTGGCTGTCTTTCCATCAATCACTATAGGTGGCATTGACGTTTTATTTTTGATGTTTCTGCTTGTGTTCTTGTTGTTTGAGTTGCCGTTTGTGTTATTTGCATTGCTTGTACTTGCAACTGGTTGCTTTGGCGGCGCTGCTGTTGTTTCTTTTAAGTGAAATGGCACAAACTTTGCACCTTTTTTCCTTTTCTTTACAATCTTACCGATGTCATCGTCATTCTCTGAATCAGATTCGTCGGTAAGCACTTGGAATGTGTTTTTGGTAGTAGTTATGGTTTGGGCTGCTTTTTCCCTTATTAACCTATGAAAGTTTGAGCTAAACTTACGTGGGACACTGAATTGCTCATCTTTCTTTTTGTTGTTTTCTTCTTCAACTCTATTTTGTTCTCTTTCCCTTTCATATTCTACCCTTTGTTTTTCACTACGGAATTCAAAGAGACTGTTAGGGGAATGTGGTAACTTATCGTCCCTGTCGAATCTTTCTCTAACCGTAAGTGTATCTTCTTCAGATGTTTGGCTTTGGTACTGCAAGATACTATTGTCTACACTGTTTGGTATCTCTTTCCTTTTGATTCTCGGGTCAGAGTTAGACCTTTTCCTAGTGGTGCTTTGAGAGGGTGTTAGGTAGACATTTTCCGTATTTTCCCTGGGGGTAGTGGGTATAGGGGGTATTACTGTCTGTGAGGGGCAGTACCCAGCAGAGGAACTACTCAATCCATCCCTCGTTTGAGTACTTCCCACACAGATAGTATTATTTACATTGGTGTTACCTCCAAAATCTAGGGGTTTAGCTATAGCGTTAGTTGGGAAGGGTAGGGTTTTGAATGTCCCTTTGGGCTGTTGTTCTCTCTGATATTCAGAATAATAATCAGCTGTGGCTTTATCCAGTTCTCCGGATTCTTTTTTCTGGCTGGGGACAACTGTGCTGTCCATATCTATATCATTATCAGATGATGAATCTGACGACGATTTTTCTAGCACATTTATTAGTGTTTCCACTGTTTTATATTGATTTCCCTTCTTTTCCTGCGGTTCTGGGGTGTTTGGGTTAGAATTATTACTCTCTTTGGATGAGTGATAATCCATTTCATCCGACCCATCCATGGATGGCTTACGTGGTGTATCTATGTAGTCTTTTTTGGTTTCTAAGCTTTGGAGGTCATCTGAAGGTTGTTTCTCAGAAATTTTTGCCAGGGGGTCCCCTTGTTTCGGGTGATTGACCCCTGGGTTAATAGTTAGTTTGCCACTCTCGGTACTCACTTTGGTTTTCCTCCTAGGCTTAGGGCTGGTCGATGGGAGGCTTTCTGGGTGCAGTTTCTCTCTGTTTTTGTCCAGATATCTATACCGGCTTTTTAGTCTCTTGGAGTATTCTGTTTCAAAGCCTTTCGGCGTTTGGGGTGCCCTTTTGGGCTCGGACATATGCCGAGAACCCTATACGGTTTTGTACTTACACTGGCGACTTTCGGGAAAATTATAAGGAAAAGGTATTGGAAGATAATTTTATTAATATTTGACAACTGACGTTTCACGATCGAAAATTGACACGCTCTGTCCTCAAACGACTCCTAGGAAAGTCCTAGGTAAACTGTCGAGGACGGAATCGCCATCGACCATGGTCCCGTTAGTCACTTCTATCGTTCAGTCGTCCGTCCGACTAGATCTCGCAAGTATCTACATCGAGTGAATTGTTGTTTGGTACGTTATGGAAAACTGGAGGGTCCTGTTACTGTCGTCGGTATATGCTCAGACATTCATGAAGACATCCGTGCTTTCTACGCACGCTGTCTTCCCGATGCATGTTAATGATACTATCCCTTAACTCATCAGGGAGGCATCGCGCGTAAAAGCTTTCAGCTGTTGATGTGATGAATTCATTCATGTATGGCATATTTGTCGTAGTGTGCATGTCTCGTATTCTAGTGTAGCGATCGCACCCCAGAACTAGCCTCAGACATTTGTTTTGAGCTCTTTGTAGCTTGCTATGATGAATTTGTGCCATAGAGCAAAAAATCGGACAGCCATATGTCAATATTGGTCTAAATATCGACTTGTATAGTAGAATTTTATTCGGCAAAGTGACTTTGCTACGCCTATTAATAAGGGGGTAAAGTGTCCTTATAATACCGCAGCTTTTTGTCACCCTGTCGTTAGTATGTTGACGAAACGTTAATCCCTTATCCAGAATAACACCTAAGTATTTGATCGCGTTCTTGGCCACGATTGGCTGGTTTAGCACTCGAAGAGGCGTGTCTATTCCTTCGGTCCGCCTCTTTGTTAAAAGAATTGTTTCGGTTTTGTTACTATTAATTTTGATTTTGTTGTTGTCTAGATAAGAGATTAACGGTCCATTTATATGGCTGTCCAGCTTCCTGGTGGCTATTTGTGCAGATTTGTGACTAGAAAATAAACAAATGTCGTCGGCGTACAACGCCGTTTGTACACCATTATCACCCATGGGTAAATCACAGGTCATAATCGTGTACAAATGCGGTGAAAGTACTGAGCCCTGGGGCACTCCCGCCTGCGCTAGGAAAGGTCCTGTTATCGTGGAGTTGATTTTAATACAAAATTGCCTGTCCGTTAAGTATGACTAGATTAATTTCACAATGTGTATGGGAAAGTCATGCACAAGCATTTTGTGTATTAATCCACGGGTCCATACGGTGTCAAAGGCTTTTTCGCAATCGAGTGTGACTAAAACTGTTTGTAAATTGTTGTTAAAACCTTCTTTGGCGTGATGCGCGATACGTAGAACTTGTGAAATTGTACTATGCCCCTCTCTGAAACCGTATTGTTCCCGTGGGATAATTTGTAGGCGTTGTTTAGTTTTCTTAAGTCTTATCAAAATTAATGTGTCTGTTATTTTCGCGATTGTGTTCAGTAAGGAGATGGGGCGGTAACTTTCGATTTTATTGGTCGGTTTCCCTGATTTTAAAATTGGAATTATATTTGCCATTTTCAAGCCACTGGGATAGTGTTGTAGCTTGAAAATGGCATTTATTATATGATGGAGCTGCACGACAGCTTTTTTACTGAGGTTTTTTAGTAAATTATTACTGATGTCATCCGGTACCGGAGATTTTCTATTTTTGAGACCTTTAATTACTTCACACACCTCTTTAGGGGAGGTAAAGAAGGAATGGGGCACTGATCGTGGTTCTGACTGCTGCAGCGCATTTACTATGAGTTTAATGCTCTGTTGTTCAGGGGTGTTTTCCTGATCGTTGGTGAAATTTTTCTGAAAGAATTTGCCGAAGGCTTGGCCTCTGTCTTTGTCAGTGTTAAGTAAGTCAGGTCCCTTTTTCATTGTGGGAAGGTGCGAGTTCGGTTTTTTAAACTTTTTCACAACTTTACACAATGAATTGTCGTTTATCTTAAGCTCCGATAGGGTATTTTGCCATTTTTTGTTGCCGTATCTTTATCATAGTGTTGATGGTCTTTGCGATGTTATGTAACCTTACCCTATCTTCGCTTTGTCTGTGTTGTTATATATATATATATATATATTATAAATATATCGTCCATGGTTCCTTCTGAGTGGTTTGGGGTTTAAGGATATTTGCGGGGTTGTTGACTTTGAGTATTTTGCGAGTTTTGCCTGCTCGTGGTGGGGAGAGCTGGGAAATCTTCTCTCCGAGGGTGGGTTTTTGCCTTATTCCAGGCATTGGCTGCTGGCGGGGGTGCGGGGATAAATTTGCGGGGTGGAGCTTGAGAGAGTCTCCTCTCTTCCATCCTGGCGGCTCGTTCTGTGTATGTTTTGCATTGAGTGAAGTTGGCAGGGTGGTCACCCATGCAATTAACACACGTGGCTGGGGTTTCTCTCGTCTTTATGCAGGTACGCGTCAGATGGTCTCCCGCACATTTAAGACATTTCGGCGGCCTGCCGCAATTCGAAGTGGCATGACCCCATGCCTGGCATCGGTGGCATTGGATAATGCTTCTCGTGGACTTACGTAATTCCCATATTATTCTTGTATTTTCGACTACCCTTACATTTTTGTTGAGGTAGTCGAGTGTGATGGCGGGATCTGTTACCACTAAAAATAGGGGTCTGTATTTAGTGGTCATTTTGTATATTTCCCTCGGTTTAATTTCGTAGGATGCGATAAGATCTTCTTCGATTTCTTCAATCTCAGTAACGTTAACTAGGCCTCTCAGTACAAAGGCATGCGTTTTTTCTAACTTACTTGTGTAAGTATGGTGGGGTATTTGTGCCTGTTTGATACTACCTAGGAGGGATTCATAATCTTCCATCGTCTCTGTAAATAGTACCGTCGTGGTGTTGGTATACTTCACAGAATATTTACCTTTGACAATAGCTTTTAAGTCATTAGTAAGGGATGAATGGTTGTCCGTACGCCCATCTACCACTATAGGAGGGATGACTGATTTTTTGTTTGTTTTGGGGGCCTCTTTGGTAGTTTGTGCACTGCTCATTACAGAGTTGCCTTTGATCGGTATGTTAGGGGTGGCTTTTTCCTTTATTTTAGGTGGTGGTGGTGCGGTTTGATCCTGTTCGGGCTCGCTGTCACTTAGAGAATCGTATTTATTGCTTAAAGGTATTGTTAATGCAGCTTTTCTTTCTAGCAGTTTTACAAAGTTTGTTTTAAATTTTTTGTATTTTTTGGGCTTCTCAAAGCCCTCGTTATCCGGTCTGTCTGTGTCTTCGCCTCCTTCATCCTCCTTTTCTAGGGGTGGTGAGGTATGTTTCCTTTTTGGAAGTAGTGGATTTTGTTTCGGTGAAGTGGCTACTTACTTAATCGCAGAGAATTTTATTTGATGTCCTCTCTCATCTTCGCTAGACGTAGGGGGTTGCGCGCCCGTCCCGAAATTTAAAACCCTGGCGATTACTGTACTCGGTACCGCGAGGGTTTGATATTCCGACACAAATTTTCATTTATAACTATTTCGGAGGTCTGAGAATTTTCGTATTTTCCGATTGAACGATTTGATTGGAAAATGTTTACCTTAGGTGGTTCAAGGTTTCATTTTCAGAAAATTTATTGAATTTGTAGTTTATTCTTACAATGAAAAAGGTCTAAAAATAGGCCATTTTCTACCACACGTTTTTAATTAAAAACAATTAATTTAAAAAAATGATATACGGTATGTAACGAAGTTACTTTTTTTTATTTATTTGAGAAATATAGGATCCGTCCGAAAACCGAATTCAACATTTTATTTATTTATTATCATTTACCGTTTGGTTTTAATAAATTAATTTTATTTGAAAATACTGTAACACGAGTGTGGGTTGAAACTATTTATTTAATTAAAATACAAAATAACTATCCCAACGCGTAAACTATTTACAATTATTACTATTTACAATTGAAAACGTTGATCCGCCACGCGCTGACCGGCTTTCTATCTTCCACTCAAAATTGACCGTGTCATATCATCAATAATCCATGGTAACGGCTTCCATGACCGTTCTCGATCATTCCTCACACTTTCTCCAAGTTTCTGTCAGCCTGCCCGATTGTAGGTTGGGTTTCCTGTCACCTTGACGGTTCGTTGTCTCGTACTGTTGTGGCAAACCCTCGCACTGTCTCGTCCATAGAGCCAAACCGTTACACTGCCCCCTCCTCAGATGCATTCCTCCTGGAATGCTGTTGATGTCTTCAAGGTTCTCTCCGTCCTGGAGCCGCTGTATTCGTACATCTTCATCGTGGTCTCCGGCGAATGGTGCTAGTCGATCAGAATGAACTACTATCGGTTTTCCTCTGGGAGCCTTGTAGATTCGATAGACTACGTCATTGATCCTCTTCCTGATGACATATGGGCCCTCCCAGCTCTTCTGCAGCTTTGGACAGAAGCCCCGCCTTCTTCGTGGGTTGTAGAGCCATACCAGGTCACCTTCCTTATAGCAGGACTCTGCTGCTCGGCTGTCGTAATATTTCTTCATTCGGTCGCTAGCTAACTGCAGGTTGGTCCGTACTAACTCATGGGTATCTCCCATCTTCCTGCGGAGGTCTGACACATAATCTTCTCCGGCCATGTCTTCACCAGGTTTGGAACCAAACATTAGATCACATGGCAGCCTCATCTCTCGACCAAAGAGTACTTTTGACGGTGTCTGTCCTGAGGATTCATTAACAGCTGATCTGTAGGCCATCAAGAACAGTGGAATGTGCTCGTCCCAGTCCCGCTGATGATCGGAGACAACCTTCGATAAGTGCCTGATTAATGTTCTGTTCATGCGTTCCACCATTCCATCGGACTGCGGGTGTAGGGCCGTTGTTCTGGTCTTCCGGATTCCCAACTTCTGGCAGACGTCTTGGAACAGCTTGCTTTCGAAGTTCCTTCCTTGATCGGAATGTAGTTCCAAGGGCACCCCAAATCGGCTGATGAATTCTTTCACCAGGATGTCAGCGAGGGTGGCAGCTTCTTGGTTGGCAACAGCATACGCTTCTACCCACTTGGTGAAGTAGTCCATTACGACGAAAATGTACTTCTTCCCTGCATCGGTTTCTGGCAGAGGACCCAGTACATCTACAGCGATCCTCTCGAATGGGCTTCCTACGATGTACTGCTGCATTCCAGCCCTACGCTTGCGTTGTGGTCCGTTGCTCGCCGCACAGGTGGCACATCTTCGGCACCAGTCTCTTACGTCGTCAGAGCAGCTCACCCAGTAGAACCTTTCTCGAACCTTCCGTAACGTCTTCTTCACACCCAGGTGTCCTCCTGACGTTCCATCGTGAAGCTGTCGTAGTATCTCTGGTATGCAGGTCTTCGGGACTAGCAGCTGCCTCTTTGATTCAGTGCCATCGGCATTTTCAACGATTCTTTTTAGCAACCCCTCTTCAATCACCAAGGAGTTCCACTGAGCCCAGTAGGATTTTAGTCCTGGTGAAGATGATGATACCTCTTGCCAGGTTGGACGACGATTTGCTGACACCCATTCTCTAATTCTTTTCAGGTCAGGGTCGCTCTCTTGCTGCTCTTGAATCCTCCCTTTGGACCATTCCTCGCTGACGACTTTAGTCTGGCGCAGGCTGGCTTCCTTCTCCTCAAGGCGACTGCAATGGGAGCAATTCTGTTGGAAAGGTCTTCTGGAAAGGGCGTCTGCGTTGCGGTGGCTCACCCCGGGTCGGTGTTCGATGTGGAAGTCGTATTCCTGCAGTTTTTCCATCCATCTCGCTACTTGTCCTTCAGGATTCTTGAAATTAAGTAACCACTTCAAGCTGGCGTGGTCAGTTCTGATCAGGAACCTTCGCCCATACAGGTACTTGTAGAAATGCTCAACGGACTTCACCACTGCTAGAAGTTCTCGCCTGGTGACACAGTAGTTACGTTCAGGTTTGGACAACGTCTTGCTGAAGTAACCAAGGACTCTTTCCCGACCATCCTGGAGCTGTGATAAAACGGCACCGATTCCTACGTTGCTGGCATCAGTATCGAGGATGAACTTTCCTTCGGGAAGTGGATAGCCTAGGATCGGAGTCGACGTCAGCTGTTTCTTCAGAGCGTCGAAGGCTTCTTGGCATTCTTCATCCCAGCTGAAGCTTCTACCTTCCTCAGTCAATCGGGTCAACGGCTTGGCGATGTCTCCGAACATCTTAACGTAGCGGCGGTAGTAAGAGCAAAGTCCAAGGAAGCTTCTCAGTTGGTGCTTATCGGAGGGGAGAAAGCTCTCTGATGAATATAAAAAAAACAGCTTTGACGATGATGAAATTAAAAGTTAATAAAAAACTCTTACAAGCAGAGTTACTGGAAAAGACAGGAAATTCAATATTGCTACGTGATTTGTCAAATATCAGTAAGTCGCCAGCACCAGCAAAACTTAACTTCCATGAAATCATATCCCTTCTGAAAGAAAAGCATAGCTGCACAGTTGATGTACATGTTGAAGAAGACACATTCAAAAGCATATTTTTCCAAGATCCTGGCATGAAAAAGTAATTTTCCTTATTTCCTGAAATTGTTTTTATGGATGGAACATACAAGTTGTTAAATATTTGCTGTCCTGTATATATAATGTATATATAATGGTTGAAAAGTCCTTTGGGACAACAGATATTGTAGGAATCAACATTCTTACAAAAGGGGATAGTGAATCTATTGGCTGGTTTCTTAAAAAGTAAGTTTATGATTTTTTACCTAAAAGTGTTTAGTTATTTTTACTACTTATATTTTATAGATTCAAAGAAAGAAATCCACAATGGAATAAAATTAAGGTTGTTATGACAGACAAAAGTGCTCCCGAAAGAGATGTTGTTAGTACAGAACTAGAACTTCCTGGTTCCAAAAAGCTAATATGCTTGTTCCACGCATTACAAATTTTTCAAAGAGAGGTAACACCAGCAAAGCTAAACATAACAACTGAGCAATCAAAATGCTCCTTGCAATATTTAAATAAGCTTGCTCATTCGAAATCAGAAGCAAATTATAACGCTACGTTAAACGAAATGAAGGAAAATATACCACAAGCAGTGTAACATATTTTTCAAAAAATTGGGAACAAATTAAACATGAATGGGCAAAATATTTTACAAAATATACCACAAACTTTTTCACAACTTCACCAATAATAGACTGGAAAGCTTAAATTCCAAACTGAAATCTGTAATTTCAACTTACAGCACCTTTGGTGAGTTCATAGAAAAATTAAATATTTTCGTTAATATCAAACGAACTGAACAAAAGAACGAGTACAGTAAAATGGTGCTAAAAGTACCTAGTAAGGATCATTCGACGACAAATGTAATGTTTTATAATCATCTAACATACTATGCATATAAAAATATCGCGAAGGATCTAGTTGAAGTTCAATTATCTACTAGTACTCCTTATACATTTAACAGCGATACGTTGTATAACAAAGAACGAGATGGTTGTAATTTCAGAGACCACATGTCAATGCAGTTTTTTTATTTCAATGCATCTACCATGTAAACATATACTGTATTATAGGAAATACTTGGGACATGAATTATTTTGTGATAGTCTTTTTAACAGTAGATGGACTAGATAATACATTAAAGATTTCTACAGTGGTTCATTACAGAATTCCAGAACGGAGACTGAACTAGAGCAACTTACGACATTAATAAGTTATTCCTCAAATACACGCCAAAAGAAAATATTGAATTCCCATGAAAAATTTAAAAAGGAAGTATTTGTCTTAATTTATCCACTATGAGTAGGAAGTTTCAATATCAGAATTTAATGAAAGGATAAATATATTACTTCAATTACAACGAAGTTGGCAAAATCTCGAAAAAGTGCAAATAATTAATTCCAAAAATGCCCAAAACTCCAACAATTTGGATTTGAACGAAAGATTTTTAGAACATAATTTTTACAGTAATAATAGTGAGTGCAACAGGACTGCCAAAACATCAATAATTTGGTATTGAATGAAGGACTTGCAGAACATGATTATTATAGTATTAATAACATAGCAAAACAGGAATACCAAAACACTGACATTATCAACGAAAATGTTATTGACAGTATACTGGAACCAGATTTTTCTCAATCTGTAGAGATAGAAGAAGTTATCTGTGCTATGAATTATTCAGAAATTGTTGATGATGGATCTTGTTTACACAACATATATTTGCCGGTATGTACACAGTTTACTTTTACGAACATTACATAGAATATTAATCACATCATATTTTTAGGAACCAATAAAAAGTCGAGGAAGATCACTAACGGCCATTGGTTTACCAAAAAAGAAGAAACGGACAAAGTAACAATCCT